ACGGCGTCGGCGGCAAGTGAGTGGTGCGCGAGGCGGGGCTACTCGCAGGCCCCGGCGCTTGCGGAGTCCACGGGGGAAGGAGCTCTGCGCTCGAGCGGGGGCGTCTCGGTCTTGAGTCGGCTCCCAGCAGCGACGCGCGGTGACGCCTTTCCTTCCAGCTGCCCAGCCATCGCGTGGTGCCCATGGTAGTGGACGCGGTTGAAGATCCCTCCCCACGTGGTCTCGCTCTACCTTATCACGAGCGTTGAGCTGAATGCTGACAGCAGTGGCATCCTGGCGGGGCCCAGGAGCTACGTCGGGAGTTTGAGTGGCCTTTGGATCGTTCTCGGTGATTGGAAATTGCTGCCAGAGCAGGTTCGGGAGTGGGCGTCTGCGGCGAAAGGCGTCTCCCTCGCCGACGCGCGGGCCGAGGGAGATTGACTTCGGCTTTCTCAGCGAGGCGCTGGCGCCGATCGTGCGTGCTGTCGAGCTGCCGGTGGCGGCGCTGGTGCAGGCCCACTCGGTCCTGCGCGTGCTCTTGAGAGGACTTGGCCGCGGGTCTCGCGTCGCGAGTCCACTGTGCCCTTTGTGAAATTCCCGCAAGCGAAGCCTCTCCCTGTGAGGCCAGCGCCGCCGGAGGCCTCTGCGGATTCGCGGCCGCGGTCGGTTGGGCACGCGCCCCCGGCGGCCCCCGAGGAGGCGCGCGCGGCGTGGTTCCAGCGTGCAGAGCTTTTCTTGGCGGAATGCCACGGTATAAAAGATTGGAGTCGAGCTCGCTGTCGCGGGAGAGCCGATGGGCTTCAAATTGGCACTGGGCCTTTTGAGGTTGCTTGGGCGAGCGCTCAGACATAGGGCGTCTCCAGAGTATCGTCGTTGGTGTAGGTTCTATTCGGCGCCCTTTCGCCATTGCGCACTGGGGCCTGCTGCCGGAGATCGACGGGGGCCGAACCTTGCGGCGTTGAGGCGCCAGGAGATAACCTTCGGCAAGATTGAAGTTGGCGCCTGGCCCTTGGAGGGGCCCCTCAAGGACTGGGGCTCTTTCCTTGCAGCGAGCGCCCCGCGACGCGGCCGCGCGAGCCTGGGGGGCTTGGGCACATGCGGCCGCCAAGGAGAGAGAGGGTTGCCAGGCGTTCCGGTTTCTTCGCGACTCCGTCCAGCAGTCGCAGGTGTTCACGGCCGACGAGGCTGGAGAGGCCCCGCTCTGGGCGGCTGGGCCCCAGGCCTTCGACGAGATGATTTCGGAGACTTGGGGGCCTCTGCGGGTGCGGCCTGGCAGGGCTGAAGGGCAGCGTCCCCGATGCTAAAACCTGCAGGCCGAGGTCGATGGTCAGGCTGGCCCCCCTGAGCAGCCAGGGGGGGCCCGCATCTTGATCCCCCCCCTCCCTCCAGGGCAAGGGGGGTCGGCGGGCGCTTGGCCCGCTCGCGCCGCCGCCCCCTTCTGACCCTGGAGGCCCTCGACCGCGCGCTTGCTAGTTGGTGCGCGACTGCAGGTTTAGCCTGGGCAGGTCTCACCCTCGTCAGATGTCGTGGCTGCCAGTGAGTAATACACGGGCGTTCCTTGACATTCTTCAGCTTGACATTGCTAGTGCTCTCTTTGGGCGAGCCCATTCCCCCAGGGGGGGGCGCCCCAACATTCTCAACTCGTTGTGGTGTCGGGCGTGGTCGAGGCTTCGCCGGCCCGTCGCTCGCCGTTCGGGGGGGGGGTCTTGCTGGCCCGGCCTTCCGGGGAGACTCGCGCTACGCGCGCGATCGTTCAGGTCGCGTTCGCATCGCGATTCAGAAGTTCGTTCGGTTGAAACTTCTCGGCGGCCAGTGGGCTGCTGAATCTCTCGAAGTATTATGGGCGCGCTTCTCATGAGGAGCTTCGCGCGGAAGCAATCAGGACTGGCTTCCCGCTCAGGCTCCTCGCGTGTCTCTGCGCGGCGCATGGGCCTCCTCGGCGCGCCGTCTGGCAGCGGGCAGTCAGCGCTGCTATGAGGGCTAATGGGGCCGAGACGGCAGGGTACAGCTGAACTCTAGCCTTGGCCAAATTATTCGTGCACGCGCTGGTGGTCAAGCTGCGAGCTCGATTTCCTGCCGCTCGCTCTCAAAAATTGGCAGATGTTTTTTCTGCTTCAGGCTGTGTGCGCTCTGGAGTAGGTTGTTACACCGCAACCACATCTATACCCCTGGGTGGGTGTATGTGCGGCCGTTTTTGCGCTGTCATGTGCGCGCATGTGCGCGGCATGTGCCAGTCATGTGCCAGGCCTGTGCGGTCCTTCTTGGATGGACTTCCTACTGTGCACGTCGTGCCCGGGCATGTGCGGGGGCATGTGCGCTGTGTTTTGATGTATCCATCATACGCACATGCACGCACAGTCCGACGCACATGCGCGCACATGCCTGCACATGCGGGAGGTGTTCGAGAATCGCAGATCTGTCATCGGCACATGCACGCACATGCCTGTGCAACCTCTCTTCGGGAGGCCGCGCGGGCCCGCACATGCACGCACATGCGGTGAAGCGCGCGGGCGCACATGCGTGCACATCCCAATGCACATGCACGCTCATGCCCTAGGAGCTGTCTGGGACCCCTGTGCCTCCAATGCCTCCTGGCCTTCGCAGAGCTAACCTGGGGCGTGCCAGGGTTTCCTGAAAGAGTTTGTTGTGCGTTTAGACTCGCCCGCTGCTGGCGGGGGCGGTTATTCGCCCGGTTCGTGAGCTGGCGGTGGCGCGCCCGCCTAATAAAATATTCTCCCGCGCGCCTTCTCAGCTCGGCCGGAGAAGCAGGGATGGGGGGGGGGGAGGTGGAGGGGGGGGGGAGGAGGGGGGGCGGAGGAGGCGGGCGCCCCCGGCCACTGGCCAGCCTGCCTGTTCGGCTCGGCCAGAGGAGAAGGAGGAGTAGGAGGAGGAGGAGGAGGAGGGAGGAGGAGGAGGTGAGAGTTGCGAGGCTGTCTCAGGCGAAAGTGGCTTGACGGCCCGAGCTCAGGGAATCTCGGAATCGCTGGCCTGGCTCGGCCACCGGCGACCTCGGCCTGTGCGAATACTGTGCGTACCTGTGCAGTGCATGTGCGGGACGTGCAAGAATGCCGGGGCCGGCGTTCGTCTCCGGACGCCGGCGCGTTCGCGTCCGGCCAGTTCCGCGTGAGACGTCGTCGGCAATTTGGAGGCCGACGTGCTTTGACATGAAGTGATCTGGCCACCTTCGCCTGAGACATCCTCGCAACTCTGGTCTCGGAGATGCCCTGCCCCATGGTGGCCCGGCCACTTTCGCTTGAGACATCCTCGGGACTCTGGGTTTCGAGACGCCCTGAGCTGAGGTGGTTAGACCACTTTCGCATGAGACATCCTCGCAACTCTGACCTCAGAGATCTCCTGCCCCATGCTGGTCAGGCCACGGTCGCCTGAGACATCCTCGCAAGTCTCGATTCCGACATGCCCCGAGCTGAGGTGGTCAGCCACTGTCGCCTGAGACATCCTCGCAACCCTGATCTCAATGATGCCCTGCTCGATAGTGTCTCGGCCCCTTTCGCCTGAGACATCCTCGGAACTCTGGGTTCCGAGACGCCCTGAGTTGAGGTGGCTAGACCACTTTCGCTTTAGACATCCTCGCCCGAGATGCCCTGAGTTGAGCTGTTCAGGCCACTTTTGCCTGAGACATCCTCGCAACTCTGACCTCAATGATGCCCTGCTCCATAGTGTCTCGGCCTTTTTCGCCTGAGACCCTCGCAACTCTGGGTTCTGAGATGCCCTGAGCAGGTGGTCAGGCCAGTCCTGCCTGAGACATCCTCGCAACTCTGGGCTCCGAGATGCCCTGGGCTGAGGTGGTCAGACCACTCTCCCCAGAGACATCCTCGCAACTCTGACCTCAGAGATCTCCTGCCCCATGGTGGTCAGGCCACTTTCGCTTGAGACATCCTCACAACTCAGACCTCGGAGGTGTCCTGCCCCATGGTCGTCTGGTCACCTTGACCAGCGACATCCTCGCCACTCTGGTTTCCAAGATGCCCTGCCCCATGGTGATCCGGCCACGCTTGCCTGAGACATCCTCGGAACTCTGGGTTGCGAAATGCCCCGAGCTCAGGTGGTCAGGCCACTATCGCCTGCGACATCTCTGCGGCATGTGCGGGCATGTGCGTCTATGCTTTCAGAGTTTTGCTTGACCGTGCATTCGACTGTGCGTCGGACGGTGTGGCATGTGCGCGCATGTGCGGCAATGCTGTTGAGGCTTTTGTATATTTGCATGGGCATGTGCATGCGACTGTGCGGCATGTGCCTGCATGTGCGGCCCCTTCCGGACCACAATTTCAAAGTGAGCACTATAGAAGTGAGCGCTATAGAAGTGAGTCCGGTGTAATCAGCTACCCGATGCGTTGATGGCCCTGGCCCAGGGCCTGGCGGCCACAAGGCTCCGAGTCAACCTGGGCAAGACAGGTATTTGGCCGGCTCATCTGAGCTCGCGTCCAGCCTGAATGACCATTGGTCTCTGACCTCTGGGGATAGGCTCGTAGGCGGCAGGTGTCTCGGCGCGAGAGCCAACGATGGCTCGGCCAGGCGAGTGTCCCCCTCCCCCCCTATCGATATCGCCCTTGTTCTTCTCGCCCTCCTCTCCCCTCGCCCTCTGTCCCTCTGCTCCCCCTTCCTTCTCCCCCTCCTGTGATTCAAGGCAGAGTCCCAAACGCAACTCTTCTCTGCCCTCCGACCCTTTTTTATGGGGGGGGGGGTCGCCTGGGCGCGCTTTCGCCTGGGCCTCCTCGCTCGATCCTTGCTCTGTACTCGATCCCGCTCCTCGATCCTCGATCCTTTCCCGATCCTCGACCCTCGTTTTGTCCATGACCCTGATCCTTGATCCTCGATCACCGATCCCTGGCCCCCCCCCTCCTCTCCCTCTCATCCTCTCTCATCCCGCCTTCCTTCGCCATCATACCCCTCTCATCCTATCATCCCCATCACATCCCCCTCTCATCCCCCTCTCGTTCCCCTCCTCCCCCTCTCATCCCCCTCGCCCTCACTCCCCGAGGGCCCCCGCCCCCCCCCAGGACCACGAGGAGTGGACCGCCCGGCGCGCCCGCTGCGGCGTGCTCTGACCCATCCGCGGCGCGGGCTGCCAGCAACAAAAAAAGGAGCAGCTCACCGGCTCCTCCTCCTCCTCCTCCTCCTCCTCCTCCTCGTGCTCCTCCTCCTCCTCTTCCTCCTCCTCGCCTCCTGCCTCTCCTCCTCCTCCCTCCCCGCCTCCTCCCCTCCTCCTCCTCCTCCTCCTCCTCCTCCTCCTCCTCCTCCTCCTCACCCCCTCCTCATCGCCTCTTCCTCCCCCTCCGCCAGTCCCCATCGCCCTCCCCTCCCTCTTCTTCTCCCCCTCCCTCTGCTCCAGCTCCCAGGAAAGAAAGAGGGCCACAGCGCCGCGCGTTGTGAATACAGTCGGTTTTAATTAGTAGGTCTTCCCTTCAACTTAAGGGTGCCCTCGTGTCCTGTGTTTCGCGATCCATGCCTCGTACATTCCTATGGCAATGTGGCCTTCGGGAAGGTCTGTTGTCCTCTCGCCCTGCTCAATCAAGTCCGACTGTAGATGGTGGCGGAAGGTGTTTCTCCATGTTTTCTTCCGGACGGGGAGACCTTGCCCGGCCTCGGGGCCGTCAAGACAGGGCCTGGGATGAAACTTCTGCCCTGGGGAAGGGGGGGAGTCTGGGGGCCGCGTGTCGACGAAATGGTGGGACGATATACGTCACCACCGTGGGCTTTTTGTTTGCCCTGGGGGATAATTGGATTGTTATTTCGGCGGTGGGTCGCAGGGTATATCAAAGCACGCACTGATAGCGTGTCGTCTGCTTAGCGTCATGTGGGTGCGCGGCTCTATGCGATACAAAAACATAAAACATTGGCATGGTTTGCATGTCAGGCCGGTGTCTGACGTTCTTGGGGGTGGGGCGTTGTTTTTATACACCACCCCCGGGTGGCAACAGTATTCAATAGGGTGTCTGGCGGCAGCGAGTCTCGAGCGCATGCGGCCGCCATCTGCGCGCTTGACCCCATCACACGTATTTCAGCTTGTGGCGCAGGCACGCAGCCAGCTATAGGGGAGGCGCTCCGTCCCCTGCCAGCGATAGCGCGAGCCCCCCCAAATTACAGCGTGTGGGCCGCCCGCGGGGGTGCTGCCGTCGCCCTGAGCCAGCACTAGCCACGGAGGGGGGGGAGGGAAGGAGTGAGGGAAGGAGTGAGGGAGGGAGGGAGGGAGGAGGGGGGGAGGAGGGGGAGGAGGAGGAGGAGGAGGAGGAGGAGGAGGAGGAGGAGGAGGAGGAGGAGGGGAGGAGGAGGGGAGGAGGAGAGAGGAGGAGAGGAGGAGGAGGAGGAGGAGGAGGAGGAGGAGGAGAGGAGGAGGGGGAGGGGGAGGGGGAGGGGCGCACTAAGGGAGTCACGCGTGACAAGGCGAAGGCGCTTCGCGAGAAGCTGATCCCATTGCTGCCGGTGAGACTTCATGGGGCAGTCGGCGTTGTGGGGATGGTCGGGCTTCGAGGCTGGAAAGTCCGCCTCACAATCACTCCGCCGTTTGCTTCAGAGACCTGCCAGACCTTCAACGAGTTCCTGAAATAATCCTCGAACTGCTACAAGGATCGGGAGCTCGACACTGCAGTCGAGAGGGAGCCCGACGTGCAGGCTTTGTACAGCACGGGCGGACGGGCCAGGGCTTTCTTAGAGCAGAAGGTGCATGCCATCGACCCTGGGGCCAAGGTGATCTGCTCTTGGCGTTCAGACTGGGAGCTCATGATCACGACCTTGGCGGGCCCGAGGTGATCGGGGCCATCGACGCGACCGCGAAGGTTGAGTGGATCCTGGACGGCGTCACCGCGACCTTCCAGACGACCCCGGAGGCCTTCCAGACGAAGTTCAGACATTTTAGGATTCAGGGCAAGGGGACATTATCCTTTTCGTCTCCCGCCTCAGGGGACAGTTGCACGGTTTACAGCTGGAATTCTTGCAAAAAGGGGAGTAGTGCAGCACCGACGATTTGCAATGTTTTCAGAAAGCTTGCTGGGACTTCGTGGCACTATTGGAGGAGGTGCCAACTTGGGGCAGCAGTAATGGTTTCACTCATTCCAGCCACACCGTTTTAGCTGCCGAGTCGTGTGTTTGTGCCACCGTTTTTCCTAGACTTTGGATGTCTGGCCTCAGGGATTTTTGCGTCGGGTGCTTATTGGTGTGGGGCGGTTATCGCCAATACGATTTATTTCTCTGTGTTTATTTTAGACCATCTTGAAGAGGATGGGTGGGCGGAATGGGCATTAGAAGATTCCTCACGGCTCGTTCAACGATTTTAAGAAGCCTCCAAGAGTATTCGATTTGATATCGTCCGTGGCGTCGACTCGAACATCCAGTTCTCGATGAATTACGTCTCCTGGGGAGGCCGTTCTTCCGCCTCGCAACTCCCACACACTTGCTCGTATTAGGAAGGTGTCTTCGTGGATGGAATCGCTCGGAGTGTTCGCTCTGAACACGTTCCTGGACCAGTGTGTGGAAATGGATGGCACGATCGACCCTAGCAGATTGGACAATATGTGTATGAAACAGGCCGGACACGAGAACACACATTGAATTCTTGTATGTTACAGCTGGTATACATGGGTGCGCTAGGGAACGGAGTGTTCGAAGAAGATTGCTCACTGGCTCCGACCACCGTCCCGTTGTTGGTTGTCTGGAGTTCCCTCCGCCTCCAGAAGGGGGAAGAGTCGACCAGCGTACACTTCTGGGATGGCGTCCAGAGACCGATGAAGCACTACTACAATTTCGATGATATTGCACCCAATTTGCCGGTTACGACATGAACGTTTTCCAGGCAACATTGCTACATCTGGGGTGCGAAGCGCACCGTGCGACGTCGTTCTCTCGTGAGCGGCAGCAAAGAAGAACAACAAACGACCCGGTGAAGAAGGTAAAGACTTTGCTGGCGAATGCAACGGAGGCCGACAGAACGCACCTAGCACTGTCATGTCGGAAATTGTATAGGCGTGCCAGGCAGGAGCGCAACGAACGTCGTCTATCTAGTATTCCCTCCAGCCGTCAATCCAGCCAGATGCCGGTGACTCTTACGATAATGGGGGAAAGACCGCAGACAGGGAAATATGGAAACATGAAACCAAAGTCTTCGGTACGACCCGCTTCCAGGACGACGAGAACACCCTCCGAGGCCAGGAGATGAGATACGGTAGATGGGTGAGTCGGGCTTTCAATGAGATTTTGGATGGCCGGCAACCGCCAATTCTCCGCATTTTCTGTGTTGCGAGGGCGAACCCGCATGAAGGCAGGTACGGCCGCGGGAAAAGACGGAGCCCCACCAGAGCTGTACGAAGCGCTACCTTACACGGGGATCGCAAGATTCCAGAGAGTATTTCAGCTTTATTTGGTCAATGAGGTCCACATTCCGGCCACTTAGGAGCATACCGATTTCTCGGGCTTGAAAGAAAATGGTCCGTGCTTTGACGCTGTCACATTTTAGGTTCGCTTGTACACGGGTTGTTGTCAAACATGATACACCCATTGTCTGATACCTCTTTTACGACCATCTTTGATTGGTTCCATAGTCTGCACATATGGTTTCAAAAAGGGGCATTGCTGCGACGACATCACCTCGCTGTTCATGCAGACGGTTTTCTTGGCTGGAAGGCGGGGGGGCAGCTGGTGATCGGATCCCGGGACATCGAGATTGCCTTTAACAACGTGCGCCACGATCGAGTTTCGCGGGCTTTTGCCGACCGAGGGGCCCATCGCACAGTTGTGGCTCATCATCGGCGACGCGGTCCTGCTCAATCCTGACCTTCTCCCGCTCTCCTCCCGCGTGTCCGGAAAACTATTTGCCATTGTTGAAAATAGTTGGATGACAGTCCAGCCGGAATTTAACCCCCTGCGCAGTGGCGCCGGCGATGCTTCAATCGCATCGCCGACCACATTGCGAACTTTTCACCATGCTCATGGTGTCAGAGGTTTGCACCTCCAGCGGACTATGTCACACAATCTGATAGGGGGGCCGTGCAAACAACTGCTCATCAGCAGTGTGGTACGTCGAAGCCCATGTGCAGAGTTGCCCCCTGGGACAGTGTCGTATCCAATATGAATGGCGGGACGAGTTATCAGCACACCAATTAATTTATTTATGGTCGAGGTCATAGTGTTGGAAGGAACCGTGGACTTGATATTGGAGCTCTTGAGAAAACGACCGTGCGATGTTTTTTGTTTCGTTTTGCCACGCCAATAACAGGCCAACGCAACCGCGCGCCATGCCTCCGGAAGAGAGAGAGAGAGAGAGAGAGATTGAGAGAGAGAGAGAGAGAGAAAGAGAAGACAAGCCAAGCGTGCTCGCGCCACATTTGATTTCGCATTCCCCACCCCCATCCCTTTCCGTCGCGCCGATGTTTTGTCGATCCGCACAGGCGTGTCATCATAGACTTGGAAATCTTAAAAACGACCACATTGACTTTACGCATGCGCGATCGGAGAAGGGGAGCTGCGTACATTGGGAGAGGAGGAGGAGAAGGAGGAGGAGGAACAGTAGGAGGAGGGACAGGAGGCGGATGAGCACAATGATGAGCAGGATGAAATTGAGGAAGAAAACGCTCCACCAACAAGCTTTCGGAGGCCCGCGCGGACTTCCTGGACTGGCGCTGGAGCCCCCCAACGGCGCCTCCGGCGCCGCCCCCCCAAACATCCAAAATTCCGCGGGGAGCTCGGAATGTTTGTTGCTCCTTTGTTCTTGTGTGGTCAAGGCGCTATCTGGCGACCGACGTTGGCGTCGTCAGCGTTGTTGTCCTCATCGCCCCTAGTCCGTCGTCTCAATGGTCGTCCTTTGTCCGTCGTCGTAGTCCTCGTTTATGTTTATGCTGGCATGTTGTCTTCCTTTGCTTGTGGACCTTTCGCCGTATGGCTTCATGCGCCGCCGGTCGACGCGCCCGACGCGACCGACGCGTTCAACGACGAGGGGCCCGGGGACGAGGCGCTTCCAGCGACCACGGGGCGAGTCCCCCAGATCCCGGCGCCGCAATCTTTCCACACTGGGCGTTTTCGCTCTGTTCCCGGTCTTGGGGGCCGTCACAGAGCAGAAGACGAAGAAGAAGAAGGAGAATAAAGAAGAAGAAGAATAAGAAGAATAAGAAGAATAAGAAGAATAAGAAGAAGAAGAAGAAGAAGCATAAACGGCTTCAAGGGCTCTCCCCACGAGCCCGCGTCCAGCTCCGTCGGGCAGCCTTTTCGACGCCCCTGCACGCGCACGGAGGAGGCCGCCCCCTCCGCCCGGCGGGGCCATCCGGAGGCCGTGGTCAAGGCGCTGTTCGGCGGCCCGCTGTCGAAGGGCCCCGCGGCCACAGGACCTCCCTTCGCAAGAGCGGGGGCGCCGCGCGGCGCCGTCGGCAGCGGGGTCTGGCCACGCTTTTCAGATCATTTGTTTCGCTGGGGGGTTCGTACCATCGCTCGGACGTGTGCATCTTTTCTCGGCGAGGACCATCGAGGGGCACCTGAGATCATCGAGCAAAAACGCGCGCCAGACCGAAAGATGCACGGGGAGTGTACGTCCGAGCGATGGCGAGGGCTGGACGTTCTTTCAGGTCCTTGCGTCCCAACTTTCCGAGCCAGGCGCGTTCTCGCCCAGCTTCGGGCTCAGGGATCCTCGGATAGCGATCCGGCTCGAAAAGAGGCGCGGGAAGAGGTGGTCTGGGGCTTCGGCCGTGATGGCTCACAGTGCTTCCATTTGCGGCCACGTGCCAAGGGGGGTAGGGGGAGAGGGGAAGGCTTTTTGGATCCTCGAAGCACCCTGCCTCTTAGGAGGCGCGGGCCCTGTCTGTAGGTGTTCGGCCGGCGCCTTATCAGGAGCAGCCTCCGAAGAAGCCTTCTCCCCTCCCCTACCCCCTGGTGCGCGTCTCCAGGTTCTTGTCCGCAACGCATGATCTCTGCGTTTTCTGGGGTGCTCGGGCGTTCTCGTCGGTTCCTGGAGCAGTGTGGCAGGATCTAAACACATCCACTGCCCCAGGCCTGGCTAATCCTGGGTCCAGGATTAAGTCGGGCCTGTCCCTCTACAGGGGGAATATTCAAAAATAGTTAAAACATAGTATGGGGACCATTTTTAAACTATTTTTGAGTACTTTTGCATTAAAAAAACTATTTTTAATGTTTCGTCCACAATCGCCCTGTAGGGGGACAGGTCCGACCTAAGCCCAGGAGCGGCTTAGACGCCCTCCTGTCTCGGCCAGGGAGGCATGTTCACCGCTCCTGGGCCCGGAGCGGGAATGGGCCAGGCCTGGGGCATCGGATGTGCATAGATTTAAGTCGGGCCTGTCCCTCTACAGGGGGAATATTCAAAAATAGTTGTTAAAAATAGTATGGGGACGATTTTTTCGACTATCTGTTTACACTTTTGTTTTTTTTGGTTCACTTAATTTTTTTGTTCGTCCAAAATCGGCCTGTAGGGGGACATGCCCGACTTAAGCATAGATTGCATTTCCCTATGAAGGTCGGAGCCGGCTGGTGAGCCGAGGTGGCCCAGCATTGGTTTGGCCCGCAGAACGGGGGGGATGAGGGCCCCCCCCCGTCGGCACGCTTGGGCGCGGCTCGAGGAATTGGCCAGTTTCGAACCCTGGGGTGTCTGGAGATTGTTTTGGGATTGTTTTCAAACGAATGTGCCCTCATCCCCTTTGATGCCAAGCAGGTTCGCACTACGACACCAAAGGGATGTAGACCTGGACGATGGTGGTGATGATGACATTGATGATGATGATGATGATGATGATGATGATGATGATGATCATGATGATGATGATGATGATGATGATGATGATGATGATGATGATGATGATGATGATGATGATGATGATGATGATGATGATGATGATGATAGTGGTGGAGGTGATGGTGATGATGATGCTAATGATGATGACGATGACGATGATGATGCTACTGATGATGGTGATGATGATGATGCTGATGCTGATGCTGATGATGATTATGCTGATGATGATGATGTTGATGATGATGTTGATGGTGATGATGGTGGTGGTGATGATGATGATAAATATTATGCTGCTGCCGATGATGCTGCTGATGCTGATGATGAGGATTATGATGATGCTGATGCTGATGCTGATGCTGATGCTGCTGACGATGAACATGCTGCTCATGATGATGCTGATGTTGCTCCTGATGATGTTGATGATGCTTATGATGATGTGGATGATGCTGATACTGATGGTGATGATGATGCTAATAACGATGGTAGCGGTGATGATGCTGCTGCTGATATTGATGACCATGGTGACGATGATGATGGTGATGATGCTGATGATGATGCTCATGATGATGATGAGGATGATGATGATGAGGATGAGGATGAGGATGTCGATGATGATGATGATGATGATGATGATGATGATGATGCTGATGATGCTGCTGACGATGCTGATGCTGATGCTGATGAAGTTAATGCTGATGTGATGCTGATGCTGGTGCTGGTGTTGACAATGATGATGGAGATGGTAGTGATGATGATGATGCTGATGGTCGTGGTGACGATAGTGATGATGATGATGCTGTTGCTGGTGATGATGATTGTGAAGGTGATGATGGTGATAACTGTGGTGATGATGGTGATGATATTGCTCATGATGATGACGATACCAACGATGGTGATGATGATGCTGATGATGCTCGTGATGATTATCATACTGATGATGATGACGATGCTGATGACGATGATGTTGATGATGATGGAGATGGTGATGGTGATGTTGATGAGTGTGATGATGATGATGATGATGATGATGAGGGTGGTGGTGGTTGTTGCGGTGGTGATGGTGATGATGATGGTGGTGCTGATGATGACTGTGATGATGATGATGATGATGATGATGATGATGTAGATGATGATGATGATGATGATGATGATGATGATGATGATGATGATGATGATGATGATGATGATGATGATGATGATGATGATGATGATGATGATGATGATGATGATGATGATGATGATGATGATGATGATGATGATGATGATGATGATGATGATGATGATGATGATGATGATGATGATGATGATGATGATGATGATGATGATGATGATGATGATGATGATGATGATGATGATGATGATGATGGCGATGGTGGTGGTGGTGGTGGGGGGTTGTTTCTATGCCGCCGTCCTCGCAACCACGGTTCCCGACGTTGTGCGCCAGTAAGTGTCTGGTATCGTTTTCTGGTCTATAGTTCAGCCTGGCTTGAGCAGCGGTACAAAGAGTGTGATTGCGTATTCGGTTCCTGAACAATTGGAGCCAAAATTGTCCATCCCCCCCCCCTCTTGGGCAATTATCTAAATGCTTCTCCAGCTCCTCCAGCCTGTAGGTGTTCTTGCCTCGTGATGCGTCGTTCCAGCTGATGCGCATCGCCGAGAGCGCTTCGAGGCTGACCAGACCGTCCAGAGCGGCCGCCTGAGGCCTGAGTTAAGGCACGAAGTTCCACACCTCCAGCCTAGAAACGAAAAACGGGGCGAAGGCTTTCCTACGGTTTCGGTCTCTGTCGACCTTCGCTGGGGCCTGGGACTTTAAGAGAACGGCTCAGGACCAACTTCGGGGGCGGCAAAGAGGGGGGTGATGATTAGGGGGGCGAAGCCCGAAGGGAACTGCCTATGTCCCCATCTAGGGGGCTAAATCGGCCTGTGGGGCCCAGGCCACGCCGCTGGGGATGGGGATCGGTTCAACGATGCTCAGGTCTCCAGGGTGGCGCAGGCCGCGCCTGCGGCCCGCGCAGGCCGCGGCGTGGGGCCGCCACGCCTTCTCGCGGAAGGTTCCGAGGCCACTCGTCGCTCGCGCTTCTGTCGGCGGCGAGCCGCGGAAAGCCCTCGCCGGGGCGCAGCTGCCGGGCAGCGCCCCGAGTCGAGAGCACCGCCGAGAACCGACGAACACGTCCGAAGATCTCGAGTCTCGAGCCGTCTACGTCACCCCCCCTCGTGGCAGCCCCCGGCTACTCGGCGGCGAGTGAGGGGGGGAAGTGCGAAGGAGGCGGCCTTCTCAGAAGGCGGCGGGGCTTCTCAGAAGCGTTCCGGCCTTTGGAGAAGTTTCCCGCGTCTTCGGGGAAAGCCCAGGCATGGCATGTCTCGGAAGGCTGGGGGATCTCCGAGCCTTCTCAGAAGGCCCGCCCCCTCTCACTTCTCCCCCAGGCTCGCCGCCGATGCTTGCCACCGTTCTCACGAGCGGGACCGCCGTCACAAATGCCTGGTGGCCGTCGGCCCATCCCGCCACCCGTGCCAAAGTTCTAGGTCAGAGGCCTTTTGAGTGCCTGTGGGGATCTCTTGGGCGGGCTCTCGGAGGCCTCCCGGGGGCGAGTTTTGTGGCGTCTTGGGGCCTCATCGCCGTGGATGCTTACTCCCGCAGGCTGCTGCTGGAGAGGCGGCCCAGGGTATGTTCAGGCGCCCCCTGTGGAGAGGGGGTCCAGACATTTACGCTGCGAGGGGGGGGGCAGCGGTTCAGAGGGGGGTCATAGTTTGTAGGGAATGAACATGAATGGACCCTGAGAGGGGCGCTATGTCTTTTTGCGCAAGGTCGCTGCGTCTTCTCGCGACAAGCATGCGTCTTCTTGTCGCCCGCCTTGGTTCCTTGCCAGCGTTTTCATCAGCGTGGCCGCTGTCATGGGCAATTACGCCCGCAGTTTGTTGCTGGAGGGGTGGGGTCCGAAATCAGAGCGAGGGGGCCGAAAGGTCATTCATTGTCCATGGGTGCGTGGCTGAACAGCGAATCTGTTGTGATGATTATGTATGTTGCATTGTTACTGTTGTTATGGTTGTTGTTGTTGTTGTTGTTGTTGTTGTTGTTGTTGATGTTGTTGCTGTTGTTGTTGGTGTTGTTGTTGTTGAACTCTCACTTCTGGAGAATAATTATTATTGATCCCCCCCGTCCGGTGCACATAGTTTTTTCGATTGAAGTGCCCTTCCCCGGGCTCGCACCCTGTTTTTTATCAGGGAAAGTCTTGACGGTCAAACTGTGTCGTTGGCCCCGGGTTTACAACAACAAAGGCTTCCGCCTGATACTTCCTCACAATTTATTGAAGAATGGCGCTCTCGCTTGGGACTTCCTTGCAATTTACCACCGGATCGCGGCTCCCGCTTGATACTTCTTCACAATGTATTGAAGAATCGCGCTCTCACTTGGGGCTTCCGCGTTCCTCTCGACACCTCTGCAGTTCTCACTATCCTTCCGCCCCGCTCTCCCAACATCCCGTTTGTTTTCAGGGTTCTACTGAATTTGTTTCTGACACCAGTTCGCAGCTGTACGTCCCCTCGTGGGGGTATACACGATATGTTTTTTTTTCAAGGGGATGGTACG